CCTTTAAGATTGCTTTTTCTGATTTTGAGAATTTTAAGGGTGTGTAACCTTCAACCCCCAGAATCCCCCGGCCACCAAGCTGACTGGGGAATTCTGGGAGTTGAAGTCTACACACCTTCAAGTTGCTAAAGTTCAGAAACAGCAATCTAAATGGTTCTGGAACGATAAGCAGATGAGAGGGAAAGAAAGAGGAGTCTTTTTGCTATGAGTGAATACAATACATATATTTCTTCTGCATTCTAAAAGGTCACATTGCAGGTAGTTAATCTGGCTTCCTCAAGAAGGGTTAGGACATCAGTTCCCAGAATTCCCAATTGGCGAATTCTGGGAATTGAAATCCCAGGAGACCTGAAGGATGCTAGTTTGGGAACATTGTTCTAGCAGAATGGGACTCCTGAAAGGATGTTGGAAATCCAGTAAGTATGAACGATCTCCTCTTTAGAATAACCCCAGTCATATATTGGCTGGTCTGTTGAGAGATGTCAAGAGCTAGGTAGGTCTGCTGATTCTGGATGACCTTCTAGACCTGAACACTAAGACATTGTTGAAGCAACCACTGCATGTATAAACATCTTCTCTACTTCCTGTCCATCTTGCCTTTAACTCTTGCCTACAAAACATTTCCACTTTTACAGAATTCCAGTTTTGGAAGGAGGCTCTTATCTATCTTGGAAGATAGATCTTATCTATCTTTGGAAGCGGGCTCTTATCTTCCTAGCCCCATCTGGTTTATCTTTCTTCCCCCTTCATCTGAAATTATTCCGTTCAGTCTCACCACTCTTTATAGACCACCTGCAATTCTGATTTATCCAGAACTCAGTGGAGGAGGGGAGAGGGAGAAGGGCTGCCAAATTAATTTGCAAATGAGCTCCCGTTTACTTTACAACTGAGTTTAATCTTCAAATTATGATTTTTCTTTTATTCTGTGAAGGATGGACATTCTGGGCAAGTTAATAACCTTCTGACAGTCTACCTTATTTATTCTTTTGATGCAAGGCTTTAAAGGCTGTTCTCGGAGCAATTGCATTTCATTTCCCAAGATAACAGGGCAATACTAATGAAAGATACCTATTTCATTGGCACATTTATATTGCAGCCATAGATTGCTACCCTCTTGGAGGGAAGTGTTTCACAAAATGTGTTATTTAATATGAGTGGTTTAATAATACCCTGTTCCTTCGCATTGATTTGGCATTTGATGCACTCGTTACAAACATCAGTGTCCATTTTTTGGTCTGTAACTGGATGTCCCGCTGTCATTAGGCATGCAGAACATGACAGAACCTCTATAATTTTTTAGATCCACTGCCCCTTTCTCATTTCTTTCGTTTTAGTGTCTTTTAGTGTTACATGCGAAGAATCTTTTCCTTAGATAGCTAATTCTCAGAAAGACATCTCTTTTATTGCTCTGGTGGTAAAATTAATCAGAAGCGGGTTGAACAGAACCAGGTTTGATCTGCAAAGGGGAACATCTTGGCTTAATTCAGTTTAAGGCTGCACTAATACACAGAATTGGATCAAAAGGCCTATGTTGCCTTCAATCTGATGGCCGTTGGCCACAATTCCACCCTGCTTTTCTACTGGATGTTCTTGACCGTCATACAAAGCAAAGGTCTTTCTACTGGACGTTCTACTGGATGTTCTTGACCTTCATACACTTCACTAAAGTACAGCAAGATATCACTGCTCTTTAGTACTTCTCTTCATGGAGGTTTTTGTAACATTCTCCAGAATTGCGTTCAGTTTGGAAATCAACCATTACGTCCCATCCTCCTCCAGATATACATATGGTAGTCCTTTGGGTTCGAAGAAGACACCCTGTTGTGCAGTTCTTCTGTGGACACAGAGGTGGCTCTGTGGTCGGAGTTTGGAAGCGCAGAGTCTAGCACCGGAATGGGGGCACCGGAAGTCCATTATTGTAGTAGCCGCGGGTGCAATTCTGTGACACCGCTATCATTTAATAGGACGTGGCTAGCTAGTTTTATTCAGTTCTTTCTCCTTCTCTCTCTCTGGTGCCCGTTTTTTAAAGTCATCCCTCATTATTTTCTTTTTAAAGAGAAAGCAAACCAGTTTTTCCAGAAAGGAAGGGACACCAAGATTCATCCCTTATCCCCACCCATTTCCTGGGCCAGTAATTAATGGGTCACTGGAAACAATCCACAACATCAAGGCAAAGTTTTATTGTGGGGGGGGCGGTTTAATTAGTTTATTTATTGAAACATTTAAAGGAAGAGAATTAAGAACTACCTAAAAGAAAAGAAAAAAAAGGAAAGAGACATAGCGGCTGAAGAATAAAATATCAGTAAATAGAGTTTACCATTGCCATAAAATCTGAAATTCATTATTTCATTAATTAATGGAGGAAATATATAGAACTAAGTTCATTATGTCACCTTACGCGATAACTAGAAATCTCTATAAAACCCTAAATGTAATATTCATATTGCTATGGCCACAAGTTGTAATCATTTAAAGGGAAAAGAACGAAAAGAGAAAGGAAAAAAGGGGGGGGGGAGTATGAAAAAAGAAAAAGCAGTAACAATATTAGGGAAAATCAGGGCAAACGTGACTTGCTGCTTGTACCTCTGATTTGTATAGATGATGTAATAAACAGGAGGTTTGCCTGCACACACACACACACAAGCACACACACACACACGTGTGATTTATGGGCTGTGAAATAATCAGTGCAATCATTCGAGTGCTTTTGGATTTTCGCAATGCTCAGTTTACAGGAAAGGGGGTGGCATATTATCTTGAGGGTCCCCCACCTGGCTTCTGTTTTTTCGGTCGTAACAAGAAGAGAGGGAGACGTAACTGAAACTGGGGAAGTCAGAGAGTGGGGTTTGGCCTTTTCTTGTTGGTCTCCTTTCCCCTCTAATTCAAAAACTGAATTTTCACAGCTCCATCCAACCCAGCTTGGAATTTGGGGCTGTCGCTTCGATGGATTACTGCTGTGGCCCATTGACTCCATATGCCACAGCCCAAGACAACCTAGACAACAATAGCAATTTAAAAAAAATCCGATAATGCAATATCAGATGCAATAGTTAATTAACTCTGCCACAGTTAACAGTCTTTTGTCAGTGTGGGGTATCTCCCTCGCCGCCCACACAACAGGCCTAGCTTTGGGCTTAATGTCTGGGCAGCAAAGAGGTCTTAAGCTATCTCTCCAAGAGGCGGGAGACGGATAAATCCTGGTTCCCCAAGACGCAATTGCATTCTTTATCTTGGGATAAATGTCCAAGGTCTGTTCTTATGGACGCATCCCTGGATCCAGCACATGCTCCTTGTCTGTACCTTTTGCTCCATTCTCCTGCCCTGAGCAGCTGACCATTTTAAATTCAGCCGGGGGGTGGGGGACAAGGTGAAAATAGTACAGCAAAGGCAGGGTTCCTCTTTTAAGCTTTATGCTTCGCATCTGGCTGTAAATGAACACTGTCTTCTCAACACGAATAAAAATGGAAAAATAAAAGGGAGAGAAGGGATTACATAACCCCCCCCCAAAGTCCTAAAACTACTTGGTTGGAACGAAATAAAGGAACTCGAATAAATAAAAAGCGAAGAGCTCATTAAAGGGCTGTCACTCTGTCCCCGTCGTAAAACCCTCCTCTAAACGAGTGCTGTATTTTTAAATCTTGTTTTTGGTGGGCTTGAAAGGCTTGCAGACCCTTAGGATCAACGGTGTTTTAAATCAATAAACAGGGATAGATGACGAGGCTTTGAAAGGGCGGGCCTGAAGTGGAGAAGATGTGGGAAGCCTTGCTTCAGAAACACGCCAGCGTGTAACCCCCCCAAAATACACCCAGACAGACAGAAACACAATTGTCTTCGGAATTGTGGGAATATCATGTCCAAAATGGGTTTATAAAGGGGAAAGGGGCAGTGACAGGGTGTGAAACAAGGTGCCACCACTAATAAGTCTGTCGCTGCCTCCTTCCAAACGATTCAACTGCATCTCAGTTTTGCCATCTGCCGTCTGCAAAGGCAGCCATAAAATTGGGCAAAGGTTTCCGCTTGTCTCTGGGGCGTGTCCTTACTCACCCCACGCCCGTTTGCTCTTTGGGCACGCGTGTTTTGCCTCTTTAAAAACTGCCAGGGATAAAAATCTGCTCGGAAGCCCCAGCTCCCTTTGCCCCCGTGCGTAGCTCCTTAAAATAGAAGCGTGGAAATAAACGGAGCCAATAAGAGAAATCTCATTTTGTTGTTCATAAGCGCTGGCAGGAGCGGCGGTCTCAATGCACAAAACAAGTAAGCGTTCATCCTTATTTGGTGTATTTCTGTCAAGTTTATTCATTTTTACAGCTTGTGGAAGGAAGAGGTTTTGTGTAACGGCTAAGTACTTCTAAAGAGTGAGCCCTGTGGCTTTCCTTTGATACACGGGTGATTTTAAACAATAAGAGTGAACATCGATGAGGAATGAGAAGGTTCCCCGGTCCTCTGAACGGGAGGTGTTTTGGGCTGAACACAGCACCTTCAACAAAGCTGTGGTTCATCTACTCAAAAGCATCTCTTCGCTGACATCTACTTCCCTTGCGAACTTCTGCAGGCGTTAAGAATGTAGGAAATCACCCTCTAACAAGTCAGCCACTAGTTCAGTGTTCTTCTTTGCTTATTGGTTTATTTATCTGTAAGATGTATAAACGGCCTAACTCTAAAGGCTCGGAGAGATACATCAAATAAAGATGCATTACAACATGGGAATGATGAGACCAAGAGATACACAATAAAATCACAAGGCAAGACAGTCATGGTTGGGCCTTTCAAGGGTGGAAGCGATGACCGTAATTCCTTTTGTTCTGTCCACTCAGCACAACTATTAACATTTCGCTTGTTTGTTGATTTTGCAAGTTATGTTGCTTGATTCCAAAAAGGCTCTGAGCAGCTTACAATAATGCAAAGATAAAATGGAGAAAATTAAAAGAGGAAGAAACCCCAAATCCCAATTATAGTTGATTTCCAAGCCATGGATACCCTGAGGAACACCAACTGCAGGGGAAGGACCCATCACACCACGACTCCCCAAAGGATTTCTGGAACACCAGCAGGGTCAGCGTTGACCTGAGCTGATCTCAGACCTGATGACTTTTTCTCCCCTCTGTTCCTTCCTCAGATTAAATTTGACAGTGACAGTGTCTGCGTGTGTTGTGAGTTGCAACACCAGACCTCTGGCTGCAGCCTTGGTGAGATGCTGAAGCTGAACCCGCTGCAAGAGTGCAACACGGTCAGGTTGACCCTCAAGGTAAGACTCCAAGACGTCAGCTTGCCTTTGGTGAAGTCACAAGTCCTGCCGTTGGCTTGCGACCTGCAGCTAAGTCAACACAGATGTTGAAGCCCAATCAAAATGAGAAATCTTTGAGTTGCAATCCTATGTGATCCAGATCCCACAAACCCAGAATTCATGTCCATAATTATCCATTGGGTTCATCCGGTCACATTCTTTGGGCTTGACATAATAAAAGAGAGGAGTAGAGTCAGTTCACCTGCAGCCCCTATGAAGTAGGAAATGGTTATTGCTGTCAAGATTTGGCCGTGTAGGATAGGATTCTATAAAATTGCTAAAGTATTCCAAGTCCTGCCAAGCAACTAGAGAGTTTTTAACTAGTCAAGTGGCCAACCTTGATTTATTCCCTTGATAATCCTCTTCGTGATTTGGCAAGAACTCTTGCTGGCAGGGTGGACCTATTTCACTCAAAATTTAGAAATGTGTAATGTACAGATTGGAGCTCGTTGCTGTTTAAGAGGAAGGCCTGGAAGCCCTGGAGTCTGTTTGAAAAATAAAGCCTCCCGTTTTGAGCTCGTTCATTCTTATTTTCCTTTTTTGCGTTGGCACTGCTTTCCTGCTCTCCTGTTCAGAGGTGTCTCGCTAGGCTTGGGAAGAAATTATAGCTAATCGGGTAAACACTGACAGCGATAAAACTCACCTTCTGTAATTATGATTAGTAATTGCCATGGGGGATGCTGCTAGTGAAAACGGCTGCTATAGACACTGGGCTCGATCTGGCCATTTCTTCGACAAAAGAAAGGGACGGAGACAAGGGAGTGGGTGGCAGACGTGAGTGTGGGGGTGTCAGCTTGCTTGGTGCTAGAGGAGCTCGGCAGAGGGGTGGAATTTAGCATTGGCTCCAAGGGAAGCCTTGGAGGGAACTGCCAGGGAAGAATTGGTGGCTTCTGTGTGTCTCCTGTTGGAGGATGTTGGGCCAAGGGTGTTGACCGAAATACCATCCCATCTCAATTTTCTGCTCCATTCCTGGTCAGCATTTAGGGGGAAAAGCCCATAGGATCCTTTTCTGATGTCCTTAATTAAGCAACTTCTCTCCTGCCTTTTCCCACCAAATGGACTCGCTTTTTTCTTTATGTAAGCTGAAGGTTCATTCAGCTGAACTTGACTCTTGGTGGATACATGTAGCTTTTTCTTGGAAGTTTTCGCTGGGTTGATGGTGATCTTCCAGATCATTTGCAGCTTTTGGGTTTTCTAGTGTTCCCTCCTGTTCAGACATGAACCAGGTCTTTCAAAAGCAGCTGTGGGCTACCATATACAGGTTGTCCTCGTTTAGTGGCTGCCTCATACAGCGACCATTTGCAGTTACGACGGTGATGAAAAAGTAATTTTATGACCAATCCTCGCATTTACAACCTTTGCAGGTCTATAAAGCAAAGGAAAGCTGAAGTCAGATCGTAAGCACAGTTGTGGTTTCACTTAGCGACCACTTCGCTCAGTGACCGAGTCACTGGTCCCAGTTGTGGTTGCTAAACGAGAATGACCTGTACGTTTGTTTTTTTTAATGCCATTTTGAACCCCCTGCAGTCCCCTAGATTTTCCAGGGTCAGTACAGAAGCACGTTGGGAATAAAAGCCAGCCAGGGGTCTGGCCCAATGGCTTTCTCTGCTGCCACAAAAGCCAGAGCAAGCTGTGTGTTCTGTTAAAATCGTTGAATCAATGTTTCAGTCTCCTGGAAAATACTGGCTAGATCCTACTCTCTTACTGTGGAGAATGGAGTTTGTTGCCAGCCTCTCTAGAAGCTTTCCCAAGGAGTCGGCTAAACCCCTGCTGAAAAGCCAGCAAAGACATGAGTGTGAACCCCTTTTGAAATCAAAGGCATTGAGTAAGTTCTTCTCTTCTTCCCCCCCCTCCCCGTGCCAAATGCTTTCATGAGCCTTCCTCCCCCCTCGAACCCCAGACTGGACTCATCAGTTCATCCGAGTGGGAAGTATAGAAAGTCTGGGTGCACGGCTTCCTGGGGCCCCAAATTCTCCCCTTGTGACAGGTCTCTTGCGTAGTTCATTTCTTTTATTACGCATGTACGCTGGTGGAATTTAGAGAGAATATAGGAATCTGACGGCAGATTTGCTTACGTGGCTGACTAGCTGAAAGATTCTACCCTAGTTGACAACAATTTTCAGAAATGGTTTTCCACCGAGAGGTTTCAGCATCTGCTTCGGTTAATTAGAGATGCATTTTAGCTAGAAATGCTGCTGATAAAGATGGGAGTCCCTGCTAAATTATGAAATCTCATTCCCCCCCTCCACACTTTCCCACTAGATTGAGCTCCTTTATCTCTGCATTCTTTGTTATAATCAACCTTTATAGAGACTTTGTTATGGTACAATAACTGAAAATAGTTTTTCCTCCAGCTCCAAAAGTCATTTAAAAATACAATAAGCATATTTTCACTGCCTAAAAGCCATGGGAAAAAAGAAAAATCAAGTGTTGGCTTTGTTAATTCCTAAGGGATCTTTTTCTGTTGTTAAATATTGGATAAAATATGGAATTTATCCCCCTTGTTTTAAGAGTTTTATTAAAAGTGGTCCCCAGGGAAACCGCAAAAGCACTGCATCTGGATTATATCGAGAACTGATTTTCAAAATCTCCTACACATTAAGCAAAATAAAAACATAAATTCAGAACTGCCATTATTCTTCCCACTATAAAAGCTTGAAAAATTATTTTGACCTGGGATTACTCTGAAGGAGAGAAGCCAGCTTCTGCCATAGGAGATGTCTTCTCATGACTCTAGTCCTCACCCATCTGCAGAAGGTCACTTTGGGGAAGGTTGAATAAACTCTCCCTTGTTAGAAAGGCCAGTGGGTCAACCGGACAGCAAGGGAGCACTCCGTGTTCTGTGAAAAGCTACGCTGAGCATTCTTCTCCGCATTTTTTTTGTTAAACTATTCTTGTTTTTACGGGAACCAAATTTACTTTCATGGGTCCTTCCTCCAAAGGAGAGCAAAATGTCTGTCTCTCCCAACTCCCCCCAACTCCATTCAATCCCAAGGGAAGACTTCAAAAGACCTAAAAACATGGCAGGAAAAAACAGAACCCTCTTTTGCAGGAGAGGAACCCTTCAGGGAGATCAGGAGGTAGATTTCGATGCAGGTGGTTCCAAATGGTTGGTCTGGTTTGCCTACAACACTGTTGTCCAAACTTGGCCACTTTAAGATGAGTGGACTTCAACTCCCAGAATTCCCCAGCCAGCATGG